TGTGGTATGTCTAAGCGGTGGACAAGTTGAACCTTCGTTGAGTTCTGCTTACACGTCGCTAATAATGCCCGGCTCGCCTACATTCGAGGCAACTAGCACGCTTGGGCGATTTTCATCAACCTTATCCTTGCCTGACGATCGTGTATTGTGCGCCGCAAGATTTTGGATTGTTCGATTGATACCAATTGCCGCTAATGCCACAACAATGACTACTCCAGCGCAAGCTGCAGCGATAGCAATCCATTGGATGGTCCCGCTCATGAAAAACTTCGGAGTACCCTCATTCGATGCTTGCGTTTCTACTGAAATACTTCCAGCTTCAGTGTAGAGAGACCCAGTGTTACCTGCACCACCCGAGAAAGAACTTGCGTCTGCAGTGGACGGAGACAAACCCGAAAGAGCATATGCCACACCGGTACTGTTTGCAATCGCACAGTACTCCAAATACTCCGAAACGTTTGTCGGAAACCTCTTGCAGTACCGACAGCCTTCATTACCGATACATCCGGACGCCAGCCCCTCAGGACAGTGAGCTGTATCAAGGACGACTCCAATTCCTCCAGCCGCTTGACCATCAGCTAGTGACACGTTCGCACAAATATCATCGGTCTGCACCAACAAAAATTCTTCCGACTTGTGGAGAGCAACTATCCGTTCCGCCGAGGTAGATTCCAATGTGTCGTCCGTGACTATCACTTTGAAAGCAATGTCTGCGCCGGTATCAGAGACGGGAATGTCGGAGCAGCTCATGTACGAATACGATTGTGGTGTCTCGAAGCGCTTGCAAAAGCGGCAGATGCTGTCCAAGCAGCCTACACCTCCGTCACCACACCGCATATCCGTGACGATGTCTAACCCGAGGCTTTTATCACCGTTAGACGCGGTTTGATAGCAATCCACGGGAATAGAGTAAATGGGACTCGTGGACGTCGGGGTTGTCACAGGAGCGACAGTGGCTGGTGGTGAGCTGATCGATGTTGAGGAGTAGTCTGAGCAGCTCCCGAACTGTGCTGACTGATCCGTCAATTTAGTTTTGCAGTACCGACAAATGCTGTCGATGCAGCCGAGTCCACCGTTAGCACAGCTCGTATCCGTGATAATGTTGATGCCAACGGAGGCATCACCGTCCGACACTGTGGTCGGGCATGTCTTCGTTATAGCCGTTGGGGCCGTTGTAGTGGATGGACAACTACTCAAATGTGCAGATTGTTCAGTGTCTTTAGTCTTGCAATAGCGACAGACAGAGTCAACGCAACCGGTGCCGCCACTCGAGCAACTAGTGTCCGTCACAATGTTAATACCAACTGCAGCGTCTCCGGAGGACACAGTCATTACGCAAGTCGCTGCACCTTCGTAGCTTTTATCGGATGCATTGGATGCGTCGGTGCTGTAGCTGTCGTCTGTACTACCGAATGAGTCCTCTTCAAGCATTCTCTCAGGAGTATCGGAATCAGTGACAAGAGGGATCGATACAAACGTGATGTCAGAACCGATGTTCGACGACGGAATAGTAGAACAGTCGGTGTACGACTGAGACTGCACCGTATCGAAGCGCTTGCAATAGCGGCAGACCTCATCCAAGCATCCAGCGCCTCCTTCACTGCAGCGGATGTCCGAAGCAATATCTAAGCCGACCGCTTTGTCCCCACCCGAGATCGTGCGAAAGCAGTCAAATACTATCGAAGGGGTGTTGGCTTTTGTCGGTGGTGTCGACGCAGGTGTTGGGCCCGGGGTCGATGTCTGAGTGGTAGTACCTGTAATTACAGCGCAATCCACGTACGCCGAAGACAGAGAACTGGTCGAAATGCGGCAAAAGCGACAGACACTATCAATGCAGCCCAGGCCACCTGACACACAGGATTTGTCCGTGACGATATTGATACCCGCAGCAATATCGCCGGCTGCTGCGGCAATGGTACAGGCCGTGATGGATGGTGTGGTCGCACTGGTCACAGGTGTTTGGGTAGTGGTAGTTCCAATGGAGGCACAAGCCACGAAAGCTGCCGATTGAGGTGTAGTTGTTGTTTGGCAGAAACGGCAAACGCTATCAATGCACCCTAAGCCTCCTTGAGCGCAGGAAGCATCCGTGATGATGTTGATGCCGACAGCCGCATCACCGGCCGATACCGTTGTAGAACACGTCTTCGAAACACCAGCGGGACAGAAATTGAAACTTGCAGACTGTGTCGTGTCTTTAGTTTTGCAGAGCCGGCAAATGTTGTCGATGCACCCGGAGCCACCACTAGCACAAGTCGCGTCAGTAATAATGTTAATGCCAACCGCTACGTCGCCGTCCGATGCTTTCATGGTACATGCACCAGCAATTTCCGCCGGGGTCGCTTCGGTACTCTCGGTTGCCAGGTGGCGGTCCGAGCCTGCATCTCCAGCAGAGCCTTCGAGAGAATCTGAGCCACTACTGGAATCTTCAGCCCACGAGCACAGCACGAAATGAGAAGACTGTGGAGTTGGTTTACTCTGACAGAACCGGCAGTGGTCATTGAAGCATCCGATGCCTCCATAAAGACACAACGGGTCTGTCATCCCTCCGACGCCGACCGCAGCGTCACCACTGGAAACAATGCAGGCTCCCGTGGATACCGTAAGTGGTGCAATGGAAGGAAATGAGGCTCCAAGCGTCTCACAGCTCTCTAAATGTGCCGACTTCAACGTGTCAATAACCTTGCAGTATCGGCAGTGATCATTGTAGCAGCCAAGCCCGCCGGCAGCACACGCAACATCGGTAACCACCTGAATGCCAAATGCCTTGTCTCCATCTGAAATTCCACAGCTCGTCGGCATTTCCTTTCCAGCCGACCCACTTCCAGAGCTAATGTCACTTGACTGCGGTTGTGCCGTAGGAATCATGCTCTGAGCGAGTACACAAGCGACTGCAACCTGTGTAAAACAACGCAGTCTGGGAAAACTCACCATGACAGCTAGACTGCACTGTGTCGCGAAGGCGACGCGTTCAAGAATGAAGCTGGGAGATCTAATGCTTGAAATACGACCGAGATATGGGATGAGGTTCATCAAGCATCGGTTACTTGACCATGATTGAAGAAGCTGCCAACGCTCAAATTCACTTTGATCGTGAGGAATACCGTTGAGGAAAAAGTCATGGGCATTTTTTAATGCGAAGGAGCTTTCAATTCTTAAGTCAATCACTAACCCGCCTGAATCGGACGATTCGTTTCATGGACATCCCAAGCACGTCGATGGTTATATACACTTGAGAAGAAAACGAGTGAAACGAAGCGGGGTATTTTAAAATACATTGAAAAAAAACAGGGATCGTTGGAGTGTATATGTTGCTCGAAAATGGATGTCGGGAAACACAGCGTTAAGTCTCAAGATTACATGTATTAATACATGTTTATAATTTTGCCATTAATAATAGTGTTACTTTGATCTCTTTTTAATATTCTATTCTACAATTGCATACGCATTGCGTCTACCCGTTGAGTCTCCCGAGCTCTACGGCACAGCGCTCGTGAACCAATCATTTCAGCTTGGAGCTTGCGCATCCGAATGAAGTGTTTTAAACCGCACGAAGACAGCATGAATCTCATTTGCGTTGTCCAGCGTTTTTGCGCAGCAGTGAGATGGACGCCGTTGAAGAACGATATCGGGGGCAGCACACGGAGAATCTTGACGATAGAAAAGGTATCGATCTTCTGAATACACTACACTAGTACATGTACCCAAATCATCAAAAAGTCATTCGTCTTGAACAAATACACTCACTCAAACGATCTAATAAGAAGTATCATCATTTGTGTTGGAACAGAGATATTTAATGCTATCGGGAAAGCAACGCCCACTGCCAGTATTGAGCGTGCAGAGCCCACATGAATACTGTACGAATCTCCAGACTGCTACCGTACAGCACGTGGACGGCCTGGCTGTCGAGCATGGGCGGAATTGAACTAGCGACACCGTCGTATAACAGAACTGTGCTCATGTGAAGACTCAAGTCCTGAACGAATGAAAAATGTAAATCGACAGGCCAGATTTTCACGGTGAGGCAGCGATACGAAGTGTAAACATGGACAAGAGCAAGGACACGACGCAATCCTCGCTCGCGATAATCTTCTGGCAGTTGCCAGGTCTTGAGATACCGGTAAGTGCATACTGTACATGCTTATCGCTATCAATCATAACAAACTAAGTCGGATGAACAATCATTTGCCGCAGACTTAAAGATTTACATGTACATTTTACTTTTCGGGCAGCAGACCCAATCCGCATGCACAATGTCTGCTTGGAGGAAAGCCGTGCTTAGCGCTCCTCGGATGATGATGCCGAATGCGTTGTCGATTTATCGATTTTGATCGAATCTACGATAGTTTTTCGGTCGTGCGGTCGACACTTGAATTTAGTAAGCCACACACCGTGGAAGAATCTCCGAATCTCGGCGACCGAATGAACGTTTTCTCCTCAAAGACGACGCAGAGCAGCCGGTGGCGAGGGGGGGGGTAATCAACGGCGAAGAGGTGATAAAACGTTTGGTGGCGTAAAAAGGTTGAAAATGAAAATTGTGGACACTGGGGGTATCGATCCCCCTACCTCCCGCATGCGAAGCGGGCGCTCTACCATTTGAGTTAAGCGCCCACATACACAGACACAACGCACACCAATCGACGCACCTCAGAAGCAGTTGCGAAAGGCAACAAATACGCAGCGCGAAAGCTCACTCTCAGCGGCAACTTCTTAAACAGGCAGCAAGATGCTGTCCGTGCGGCACGTATTTTTTTGTTGTTGTGAAGTTATCTCTCGCTTGTCACATCTGGTGTGGTACCCATTAGCGCAGACTTCACTAACATGCACTCC